TACCATGTGTTGAGTGTAACTCTTAGTAATCAACTGTACTTTGAAACGCTCAATAGAACCATCAGGATGATGTTTCACAATGTAGACCCCAACAACAATTAACAAGTTGCTTACCAAACAAAAAAGAAGTGAGATCTCAAGTATTATTGTCATGGAGTGCCATAATTTTCTCATCCATAGCTAGTTTCCATCCAAGAGATATTAATGTTTGTTTCAGAGAGTTAGGAATAACCATACAAGACAAGGTTGATGCAAAATAGTGAAAGGATGAGGAAAGTCAATGCAAAGAGACAAAATTAGAAATAGGATGTTAAGTACAAGTACAAGCACCTTTCCACAATGCAATAGGCAACTCGGAAGATAGTGATACAATAAACAACTCAAGAGGAAGAGCCTCAGTAGAATTAGGCATTCGCTCTAGATCATATTAAAAAACATATCTATCCGTGGAATGATGGTAACCTACAATGGAGGGTTAGAATCCAAAGAAGGAGAAGATACACAATCTGGTACAAGAAACAAAAAGAGCTCCCCCGATTAGTAGAGATTAAATAAGGGGAAAAAATTGAACTTGAAACAGAAAAAGAAAACGAAGACTCAAAAAAAGTGACATTGGCACTACATAATACCAACGAGAGTATCCAAAAAAAATACACTTGACCAACTGAGGTGAAAGTCTATCCCAACCTAGACCAAAAATGTGAACAAATGTAACACAACCAAAGACACGAGGAGCCAGACTAAAGGGTGTATTAGGATAAAGCAAAGAGAACGGAGATTTGTTACTTAAGATACATGAAGACATTCGATTAATAAGATAGACTGCAGTGAGAACATCGTCTGCCTAATAAGGATTGGGTACATCCATATTAAATATGAGAATACGAGCAACATCAAATAAATAACAATGTTTGCATTCTGCAATACCATTTTGCTAGGATGTATGTGAACACGTAGGTCGATGAATGATGTCGTGATCAACACAAAATGTGTGCATAAAGGATTGTACATACTCAATGGCATTATCAGAACGAAATATCTTAGTATGATTATCAAACTGTACCAGAATTTCATTGTAAGAGGTAAGAAAAATCTTAGGCAATTCAGAAAAATCTTTTATAAGAAACAACTAACAACCAAGTCATACGAGAATAACCATCAACAAAGATCACAAAATAATGAAATCCAGAAATATTTTTTATCCTTAAAAGTTCTCAAATGTCAGAATGAACAATAGTAAAAAGACTAAACCGACAACTCGTACTACTAGAAGGAAAAGAACTTCAGTGATGCTTGTCTACTTGACAAAGCTCACATTCTAATATAACAAAAGGACTCAAATTAGGAATGACTTGACGAAGTTTCTACCACGAAGGGTGACCCAATCGAAAATGCCACTAGAGGGGAGAGTCAGTAGTACTCAAAACAGGAACTACTGCTCTAGAATCAAAATAGTAAAGTCTATTCTGCTCATGCCCTAAACCAATTACCTTCTTTGTTCGAAGGTCCAGAAAAATACAAAAAGATAGAGAAAATATCACTAAACGCTATAAAGACTTGATTAACTGACTCAAATTAAAAGAACTAACAGCTAACACAATACGAGATTTAGAAGAACGAAAGTTAGAAAATAAAGAGAAAAATACTAGACATGAGAGCACTAGCTCTCGAATCAATAATCCAAAATAATGAAGCTGATTGGACTACCACATGTGTAAAATTACCTGCAGTAGCTAAACTGGCAGCTGAGCTGAAGTCGACAAATGGGGAGATAGTGAAGACAACTACTGGCTGGGCTAAGAAATGAGATCATCATGAAAGCCAAATATAAATGCAGCATGTCCACCGGTCGATGACTGAGGTACTGGAGTAGTCAGGTCATCAAAAACCTAATTAGCATATGATGGTAATCCATGTTATCCCAACAACAATAATCCTCAGTGTGTCCAGCAGCTCCACAATAAGAACACTTCCACTCAGAACTATTGCTAAGATTGCCACAAACATCACAACCTCTACGATTAGTATCTCTACCACCATGATTGCCACCTAAAGCGGGATGACAACCATCACCACCATCACTACAACAACCACTGTCACTCAAGAATAAAGCGAAGGACTCCTGTGAGGATGAAGGACCCCTCGAGTCAAAAAGGCTCGCTGGAAATAAGCATTAACAATAGTTGGGAAGTTTCTCACTAGCCAAAATCTTATCTTTAAATACACCATATTCAAAATTTAGACAAGACAATAGTAAAGCAACCTAAAATTCTTCACGCTTCATGGCCAAATTAGGTGAGAATGCTGATTTAGATTTCGAAGCGGATCCAAATTTTGAGGCTTGGGGATGGATTATGTAGTTATAGTTTAATGGTTTCAATGATGGAATAATGTTTATGAATTTTTATGGTCGGCTAGTTAGATATGGGATTTTATTTGGTTGTAAGGTTCAATTTAGATTTTTGTTTTGTTGCGAATTTTAGATTATGAAGTTTGGAATTGTTAGATAGTCATAAATGCTCTCACCGGGAAATTTTGAATTAAACGATCATTGTTGTGTTTAAAATTTGGGGCATGACAAAGCATAACTTGTCATAACTTGCTTATTTAAGCAAAAATAAACATTGCCGGTTATTAGAAAATTTGAAAAGTTCTCTACATTGTAGTAAGACCTGTTATTTAAGGAGGCTTGGACTTTCGTGGCTGGGAGATGCCAAAATCTATCAATCCAAGAATCTGAACCCCTAAAGCTCCATTATTTTGGCAATGATGATGACATCAACACTTGTCTAAATATACCAACTTTCAAATATCCTGCAATTACCCTCATGTTATCATTTTGGTTACACCTTCAAGTGCAGTTGTAGGGCACGACAGTCGTAAAACCCAACTGGTTAAGCCTAACTAGTTTTCTTAAAACCAAGGCTACTTGTAATTTAAAATCTTTCTACATGTATTTCTGAAACTGCCCGGTCAACAAAAATTTCATGCTTGTCTCCTCCTTCGAAAAAAATCCACAGACCAAGCTATAATCTCAGTGGCTGAAGACCCTGCCACTTTGTGTCCCTCACTCAACCAATAACTAATGCTAATTTCCTCCAAACCACCAAGAACTTTGACATATATGATTTACGATTCTTAGGATTGCACTATTTCCTAGTGTAACAAAACAAGTTATGAACTTACGTTAGAGGAGAAAACTTGATCACCAATACTTCCAAAGACAAATAGAACATTTCAGAATTATAGGCCACAATTAACTAGTCTGCCAAATAACATTTCAGAACTCACAAATAAAGTTTTCTTTATGAGCAACAATATTTGGTCTTATATTATTAATGTCTAAAAAAAGTGTCCCCTCATAAAGTTTATGATAATGCAAAATGAGCAACTAAACCACCACAGTACATCTCAAAACAGCTCTCCAATCTTTCCAAATAAAAAATCAACGTATTCCATCAAACGCAGGTGAGATTGGAATCCAAAAAGGAGCTCATAATTAAACTCTTCTCCATTACTCAAGAAAACTAAATATGTGTAGCATTTTATGGGGGAAGACATTTTTGAACTCATCCAAGTTTGGCTCTCCCTAGACCAACCTATAGCTTGCAGGTGATTCCCAGGCTGCCAACAATCATGGAAATTAGCCTCCCTATTAAATGTAGTGGGGACGTAAAAAAATTAAGAAACAAATAAGTAGATAAGGACAAATTTGAACAAAAAAGTTATCTTTTACTTTCGTCTCTTTTCTTAGCGTGCAGCAAATAGAGGATAGATGTCCATATCTACCACAATTCAAGAGCCTCTACTGAGTAATGACCAATTCAAGTTCCTTCATGCACTAATATGTCCCATAACACTACAATGGCACTACATTTCGCATCACGGTATTGTTATATTGATCATTAACCAGTTTGTTTTTTATTTTCACTAATCAAGGCTGCTCATTGAATTTTATGGAAAAATCTAAAAGATTAATGCCACTTTGGTTCCCAAGAAAATGTTGTAAATGATTAATCTTTTGGATTCTTTTCTTTATCCGCACGTCTTTTCTCCTATTTGGGCACCCAGAAATTTCATTCATTTGGAAGAAAACATATAACGTGACTCAGATTTTTAACTTGATTTATTTAGCATATTTTCCTGAGAACCTGCAGAAAAGAATCCCAAATACTATTACCATGATTGGTTTCCACTAAAATATGGTAAATAAATCAAGTAAAAATCTGAATCAAGTTGTCAGTTTTCTTCCAAATGAATGAAATTTCTGGTCACCCAAATAGAAGGTAATGAAGTGCGAATGCAGAAAAGAATCTAAAGACTAACGCCATGATTGGTTTCCAACTAAATATAGTAAATAAATGAAGTTAACATTCTGAACCATGTTTTTTTTTTGTTTGATTTTCTTCCAACCGAATAAAATTTCGGGGCACCCAATAGAGGGTAAAGAAGTGCAGATATAGAAAAGAATCCAAAAGACTAACGCCAGGATTGGTTCCCAAGAAAACGCAGTGAACAAATCAAGTTAACATGCTGAATCAAGTTGTTCTGTTTTTTTTCTAACCGAATAAAATATCTGGGCACCCAAATAGAGGGTACAAATACAGGAAAAAATCGCAAAGAAAAAATCCCGTGATTAAGTCCCAAGAAAATATAGTGGAAAAATCAAGTTAACATTTTGAATCAAGTTGTTCAATTTTCTTCCAAGTAAATAAAATTTATGGGCACCCAAATCGAGGGTAAAGAAGTGCTAATACAGAAAAGAATCCCAAAGACTAATGTCATGTTTGGTTCCCTATAAAATGTAGTGAAAAAATCAAATTAAAGAATCACGTTGTTCAATTTTCTTCCAAGAAAAAGTTTTGGCCACCCAAACAGAGGGTAAAGAATTGCGAATACAGAAAAGAATCCAAAGACTAATCCCGTGATTTACTCCCAGAAAATAGATTAAACTAATCAAATTAACATTCTGAACCAAGTTGTTCGATTCTCGTCCAAGAAAAAAAAAAGTTTATGGGCAACTACATAGAGGGTGAAGAAATGGGAATACAGAAAAGAAAACCCAACCTTTGGTAGAGCCAGTGATCAACACGTTGTAAGGAGGAACCATTGGCTCCGATTTGTTGACTGAAGGAGACGTCTCTGCCCTTATTCTCAGAAGATTCGAGGTCGCAGGCTTAACTAAATTGATGGGTTTTTGGCGGTTACCAACGGTCAAAAGACTGCAACGGTCGAATTTCAGGTGAGAGACTTGTGGGTGAGAGGGTGACGTGAACAGTAGAGACGGAAAGAGAGATGACAGGGAAGCAGATTTAGGAGTAGAATTGATGGCCATTTTGGAGGGAGGAGAAGAACCCAGAAGTTGAAAAGATAGAACTGATGTTTTTAGAGGAATAGATTGATTGTGGTGAAGTAGTGAACTGATAAAATCGTACCATCAGAGAATATGTTCGTTGAAAAATTAATTATTTATATTATAATATACTTTATTTGTTTGTATATTAATTGATATATATTATGTATATATTAATTTTATATATAAATGTAATGATGTATTTATATCTTTTTAAATAAAGGTAAAAAAAAATTATAAATATAAAAAGTAAAAATTAAAAATTAACAACAATATTTTCTCTATCTTACTGAGCATTAAAAAAAATTATCATTTTTATCTTCTATTCATCCTATCAAATATAAAAGAAGGAAAGATACTTTCCTTTCTTGAAAAATAGAAAAAACTCTCTCCGTTCCTAAATATCTGTCGTTTAATGAAACTAAAGCATAATTAATATTTTTCTTCTAAATTTACCTTTAACTTTTCAATACATTATATTAGGTGGAGGTTAAATACCTTTCATGTTCTTTTTTTTTCCAATACGTATTGAATTAGAGTATTTTAGTCTTGTGCAATTATTTTTTACTCATATTAGAGTTATTTAATTGCTTCCTTAATCTCTGTGCAAAAACCTTAAACGACAGATATTTAGGAACGGAAAGAGTATATGCCTCATACTTTTCATCTTTCTTACAAAACAGGGTATTAGTGGCACGGTACAAAAAAAAATAAAAAAATCATCAGTACTGTAAACAATATGCACTGCCAAGCTTTCGACGAGGAATAAACACAAGAAAGAGAAACAAATAACCAACCCCAATTACAAGACAAAATACAAAAAAAGAGAAAAAATTTTGGGTGTGTGCCAAACAGTTCGAAGTCATTAATAACCTAATGGATCATTGAGCCAACCAATTAGCTCTAACTTGTGAGTTCTATAGTTGCTTAACTCATAAGCAAGGTGTGTCTGGACCTAGTTGAATTGTCAGCTATAATGTCGAATTGTCATTTTTAACGTTGAATTGTTATTGTCAATTAAAAAATAACAGTTGGCCTGGTGGATGCCATGAGACAAGCTTTCCTTTCGGGTGCAATATTTAATTAATCGACTTGAATTTTAATCAAATTGTAAGAATAAATATTATTTGGAGTTTGGTTGAAAACATGTCTATCAAGTGTGGGAGTAAATGATAATTACCCAAAATTTGATTTTACATTTACACCGATAGTGATGTTGGTAAGATCGTAATAAAACTGATTCTATTTATTGTAGCACAAGATCGGTTATTTGACTGGTCCTAATTGTAATAAGATCAGTTTATCATAAAACATGATAGATACAAAATACCTGAGAAAGTGGTAATCTTACCCCTAAAAAGTGGTAACTTACTTAAAAAAAGTGATAATTTATCCCCAAAAAGTGATACTTCACCCCCATAAAGTGGTAACTTACCCCCAAAAAAGGGTAATTTATCCGGTGATTACTCCCAAAAGGTAGTACCTTATCCCCAAAAAGTGGTATCTTATTCTCATAAAATGGTAATAATTCTATCGTGTATTGAATTTTTTTAAAAAAAAATTACGTGAATCTCAATGGATTTTTCATAATAATTCTATTATGTATTGATTTTTGTAAAAAAAATTAATTAATTAATTTATATGTAATTATTTATAAAAAAAAATTTCTTTTAGTGTTTTTCTCTCGATTACTATCAAGTAATTGATTTAATGGGTTACTGATAAAAAGTTAAAATATTTCATCAAAGATTTTAAATGATTTATTAAGGATCAATGGTCTTAAATAATTTAGGGGCATGATAGCGAAAAAAAAAATTTATCAATACTCTAGAGTCATAGACCCATAGATAGTAGACCGACCCTTTTACTCAGGTTTGTGGGTTCATTGTTAAGCTTTCGAAGAGGAATAAACACAAAAAAGAGAAACAAAAAACCAAACCCAATTACAAGACAAAAACAGAAAAAGAGAACTTTTTGGGCGTGCGCCAAACAATTCAAAGCCATTAATAACTCAATAGATCATTGAGTCAGCCAATTAGCCCTGACATATAAGTTCTATAGTTGCTTAACTCAGAAGCAAGGCGTGTCTGGACCTGGCTGAATTGCCTGCTTATAATGTTGAATTGTTATCGCCGGTGAAAAAAATAACAGCTAGCCTGGTGGATGTCATGTGACCAGTTTTTCCTTCTAGTGCAATATTTACTTAACTTGACAAAACAATAACTCATTTAAGATATCACTCATCAGTTGCATCTGTCGACATAAAGAAGTCATTTATGACTTCACCTTCCTTGCAAAAAAATCAAGGGGTTGCATGTAAGAATCTTCTAACAACTGTGTACTACACATCAAATTATGAAGGATAGACAATGCAAGAAAAAAGGAATGCTTACCAAAATTTTTTACTCAATCTTCCATGCCAAATAATGTGGCATAATCTCCATCATTGAATATTAATGGGACCCACTTATTTGATGGTGAAAAACCTTACCATATCACTTGAGATGAAAATTTGATAAAAAAATCTGATAAGTATAGTATTACCCATGAAATTATGTAACTTTTGGACCGTGCCTAAGGATTTTCTTCCTTGTACTAAAATTGAGCCCACACATGGATATGAAAATTTGATATAGGATCAATCGACTTTCCGAGTGGCAATGCGATACAAGACATTAGTTTGTTTAGAGCATTTTCAATGTTTTGTTATTTTAGTTATTTAAAAGTGTATTTTTTATATTTTAGTTATTCACCTTTTCAATACATATTCTAACAGATTTTCTATAATTAAATATTATTTCTCCTATCTTGTACATTTGTTAATACTACTAAAGGGAGAGAGAAAGAAAAAAAATGGAGGGAAAGACAAAGAGTAGATAAAAAAATTAATCATTTTTATTTTTCATCCATCTTATATAATACAAAGGAAGGAAAACGTATCATTCATAATTTCCTTTCTTAAAAGATAGAAAGTATATCTCTCATGCTTTCCACATCTCCTACCAAATAAAACATTAGTGGCACAATACAAAAAAAAAAAATCTTCGGTATCGTACACAGTAGACTAACCCTTTTACTCATGGTAATGGGTGCACTGTCAGGCTTTCGAAGAAGTATAAACATAGGAAAGAGAAACAAACAACTAACCCCAATTACAAGACAAAATACAAAGAAAGAAAGAACTTTTTTGGCGTGCGCCAAACTATTTAGAGCCATGAATAACCCAATGGATCATTGAGCCGGCCAATTAACTATGACATATGAGTTCTATAGTTGCTTAACTCATAAGCAAGGCGTTCCTGGTCTTGGTTGAACTGCCAGCTTATAATGTTGAATTGTCATTTTCAACTTTGAATTATTATCACCAGTGAAAAAAATAACAACTGGCCTGGTGGATGTCATGAGACCAGTTTTCCCTTCTCGTGCAATACTTAATTAACCTGACAAAACAATAGCTCATTTAAGATATCACTCATTAGTTGCATCTATCGATATAAAAGAAGTCATTTATGACTTCACCTTCCTTGCAAAAAAATCATGGGGTTGCATGTAAGAATCTTCTGACAAATGTGTACTACACATCAAATCATGAAGGATGGACAACGCAAGAAAAAAGGAAAATGTTATACTTACTAATTTTTTTCACTAAATCTTCCATTTCAAATAATGTGGCACAATCTCTATCATTGAATATTAATGGGACTCACTTATCTGATGGTGAAAAACCCTACCATGTCATTGGGGATAAAAATTTGGTAAGCATAGCATTACCCACGAAATTATGTAACTTTTAGAGCGTGTCTCAATATTTTCTTCCCTTTACTAAAATTGAGCCCACATGGACATGAAAAATTGATATAAGATCAATCGACTTTCTGGTTGGCAATGTGTATAGGACATTAGTTTGTTTAGAGCATTTTCAAAAATGTTTTGTTAATTTAGTTATTCAAAAGTGCATTTTTTTTTATTTTAGTTATTCATTTTTTAATACATATTCTAATAGATTTTCTATATTTTAATTACTTTTTTTTAAATATTATTTCTCATATGTTGTACCTTTGTTGATACTATTAAGGGAAAGAGATAGAGAAAAAATGGAGGAAAAGACAAAGAGTGGATTAAAAAATTAATCATTTTTATTTTCCATCCATCTTACCATATACAAAAGAAGGAAAATTTATCATTTCTATTTTCCTTCCTTAAAGGATAGAAAGTGCATCCTCCTACCTTTCATCATTCCTACCAAATAGAGTATTAGTGGCATGATACAAAAAAAAAATCTTCGATACTATAGATGGTAGACCGACCCTTTTACTCAGGTTAGTGGGTGCACTGTCATGCTTTCGAAGAGGAATAAATATAGAAAAGAGAAACAAACAACCAACCCCAATTACAAGTCAAAATACAGAAAAAAAAAAAGAAGAACTTTTTGGGCGTGCGCCAAACAGTTCAGAGCCATTAATAACCCAATGGATCATTGAGCCAGCCAATTAGCTCTGATATATGAGTTCTACAATTGCTTAACTCAAAAGGAAGGCGTGCCTAGACCTTGCTGAATTGCCAACTTATAATGTTTAATTGTTATCGCCAGTGAAAAAAATAACAACTAGCTTGGTGGATGCCATGAGACCAGTTTTCCCTTATGTTGTAATATTTAATTAACCTGACAAAAAAATAACTCGTTTAAGATATCACTTAACAGTTGTATCTATCGATATAAAAGAAGTCATTTATGACTTCACCTTCCTTGCAAAAAAATCAAGGGGTTGCATGTAAGAATCTTCTGACAACTGTGTACCACACATCAAATCATGAAGCATAGACAGTGCAACAAAAAAGAAAAATGTTACGCTTACCAAATTTTTTTACTAGATCTTCCATCCAAATAATGTGGCACAATCTCCATCATTGAATATTAACGGTACCCATTTTATTTGATGGTGAAAAACCCTGCAACGTTGAATTGTTATCGCTAGTGAAGAAAATAATAGCTGGCCTGGTGGATGCCATGAGACTAGCTTTCCCTTCTGGTACAATATT